AGAGGGGAAATAAAAATGGAAAGTTACCTTAGAGGAAGCCATTAGTGACTGGGAGGAGTGGGATACTAGGAAAAACCTCTGGCATAAAGAAGTATTTGAGCTGAGTCTTAAAGGAAGTCTGGGAGTTAAGGAGCAAAGGTGAGAGGGCAGAGCATTTCAAGCATGAGACACAGCCAATGGAAATACAGAGAGTTAGGAGATGGGTGTCATATGTGAAGAACAAATAGGTTAATGTAGCTGGATCAAAGAGTAGGTGGAGAGGGGTGCAAGAAGCTGGAAAGTTAGAAAGAAGGCAGGTTTTGAAGAGTTTTAAATGCCAAATAGAGGATTTTATATTTCAGCCTAGAGGTATTAGGGAACCACTTGAGTTTAATGAGAAGAAGGGTTGACATGGTCAGACCTGTGCTTTGGGAAGATCACTTTGGAAGCTGTGTTGAATGCATTAATTTCAGAGTGAGATGAGGCAGAGAAACCAATTAAAAGACTATTATAATTAGTCCAGGTGAGAGGTGGATGGTCTAACCTGGTGTGCTGGTTGTGTGAGTACAAAGGAGGAGATATATATGAGAGATGTTGTGAAGGTATAAATGACAAGATTTGACAAAAGTTTGGATGTGTGGGTGGCAGTGTGGTTGGTGAGTAGATTGTAAAGGAAGTGGCCCAAGATGAGAGAATGCCATTCCTCCCTAACTACTTTATATTTAACTTCCTTGTATTTATTTTTATTTATTTTGGATATGCTTATATATGAAAAGAAAACTACATGGTACAGTGGAAAAATTACTAGCTTTGGAGTCTGTGTACCTAGGTTACTATCTGTGTGAGCTTGAGCAGGCTAATTGACTTTCTTGGGCCTCAGTTTCCTCGCCTGCAAAATGAAGGGTTTAGACTAGATAACTTCTTCAATATGTATTGGTTATTTCCTCCAATAGAAGAATATAAGCCCCTTCAAAATAGGAATTATTTTGTTCTTTGTATTTGCATACTCTATATACAACACCTGGCACATAGTAGGTACTTTATAAATGCTTATTGATTGATTGGTTGAAGAAAAAGGTCCTAGACTTTAAGATTTAATAACTACTATCTACTTATCTTCTCTGGGAGATAAAAGCACATATTTGAGGAAATAACAAAAAATTCAAGAGAGTAAATGGGAAATGCTAAATAAATGACAGACAATAATTCAACACTTCAACTTGTCAAACATTTATTAAGTACCTACTATGTGCAAGAGGCCTTGTTAGGGTCTAGGAATTCAAAGAAAGAAAAACTGAAATTTCTTCCCTTGAGAAGTTTACAATTTAGGATTGGGTTGAGACATGCACACTAATAATTCTGTAATAGTTCACTGGAGAGCCTGGTCTAAAGGCAGGTATATATTCTCTAGTGTCCATCTACTCCATTCACCTGGGGCATGATAACCATGACTGATGAGATGTTCACTCCTATTCCTGTGGAAAGAGACAAGATAAAATCTTATGAGTTGGACCTGTAAAAGTGTGCTTAGGGAAGGCCATCAGGAACTTCAGCAGCAACTTGGGGAGAAGAGTTAGCACTGCAGTAAAAAGGCCCCAAATACAACAAATGCTATGGGTTGGGGAGGAAGGAGCTGCTGTCCAACCTTGCCACAGCCTCTTGCCCAAAAAATCTTCAGCGGCAACAATATAGAGAGTGATGAGAACAGGACATTGTGACTGAAGTATTAGTAGTCTGTGATTAGGGTGGAATGTAAGCTAGCTGAATCGTGTTGTTATTACTATACTGATTTCTGTACGTACCTTTGGTGTTGAAATTCCACCAAGAGAGTGTTGAGAAAGACATAGATTTTCTTAACTACTAGGAGCAATCCCAGCATAGAAGCTCAAGGCTAGATGGAAAAGAGATATTATTAATTCATATTGTGTAACTTTTTCAAAGTACAGAAAGACCAAGTGAATCTGGAACAAGAGAAACCTAGGCAATCTGGGTTGATAGCAATCTTCCCTGGTGTAGATAAGCTGGTGTTAACTTTTCTGACACCAATTACTTTAGTCACCTTTTGTCCCTTTGTTCTTCCTTCTTAATCCACTTTACTGAACTATGTAATCCACATCTCTCCATCTTGTTAATGAGGACATCACATGAGATCATAGTATCAGAAATGTAGAGCTGAAAGGGACTGCAAAGGCTATCTAATTCAGTGCTTCATAGTCATACCTCCTACCCTCATTTTACAGATAGAAAGTGATTTAGAGATAGAAAGTGATTCACTGAAGGTCACACATGTCACCATTTTGAAAAATGCATTTCATGATGCTTTTTGAAAAGTGGGGACACATTTGCTTGTCTCCTGTCCTCTAGAGCTTTTGTTTTGTTTTAATGATCATTGGAAGAAACTTAGCAATTACATGAGGCAACTGGACTTGGTGGAATGACCTCTTGAGGGAAGCCAGGTGGTTTCTTGTCCTCCCACTTATCTTGGTTTTTGGTTTACTAATTATTTTTACTCCCATAGTTCTCAGTCTAGAGATCATTATCCTTGGCAGAGAAAACAGAAACTGAGTTTAATCTGTACTGTACACAATAGCACATGGTGTATGTGCACTAGTGCTCAGTGATTTCCCAAAAACCCCTCCTTTGGTCACCTAGTAACTTTACATTGGTTAACAATAACATAAAGCTCAGCAAAGAATTAATTGCTATGCTATTTAGTGAGGATTCAGTTGATGAACTTTGAATATCTAGGTTTGAGAAATAATTACCGGTGACAAGCTTGAATCTATTTATTTATTTATTTTATTTATTGTTTTTTACTTGACAATAGGAAGGAAATGGATCCAGCTGAAATGGACATAGGTAAACTAAATCAACTACTAAAGCAGATTTGGGGGCAAAACCAATCAGTAAATGAGACCCTTTTGTGCAGTGACCATAAAGATAAGGATGGCATAGGGACATGGGTATCTACAATGATCCTGCTATGTCAAGAGCTTAGTGGGGCTCTCTGCCAACATTTGGAACATGTTATAGGGACACTACAAGTCACTTGCCAGCAGCTGCATGTTCTTGACAAACAGAAACCTTGCATTTGGAGACAAGGCAAGTAAATACATATTTTGCTACAATTACAAGTATTTAATGTTTCATGTATTAAGGCACACTGGATGATCCTAATGCTTTCTTTTCAATACCTTTATGTCAATACCTTCAATACCTTTTAGGAAAATTGGCATATCCTCAAAAATGAGAGATAAAGTCAATTTCTAGTCTGTACCTGTATGTGTACATCTATGACCTATTTTATACCATTAAAGTATGACATTAAAAGATTAAATTTCCTCATTCAAATATTAATCTTCATTTTATTTAAATTTTTTAAAATATCAAGCTAAATTTACATCTGATAAAGTTTTATAGGAAAACTCTTATTGTTCTTTACATTGGACTTAAATGGAGTGTCTTTGGAAACATAAGTAGGTGATATTAGGTAAGCTAAAATTTACTAAGTTATCCATTTTCATCTTTTGATAAGGTAACTAAACAAATGAGAGGAATGCTGTGCACATAGCAAATCTTGACTTCAAGAAAGCATTTGATAAAGACAAAATATTTTCCAGGACAGGTAGATTTGCACCTCATAGAATAATTATTGAAAGGAAGTCTCCAATGGCATGTTTTAGACATTGCTGGGGATATAAAAATGACTAAAAATGACCTTTATATTGAAAGTAGTATCTTAAAATACATTTAGATCATACTTGTTAGTTTACCAACTCTCTCCCATTCAACCCAACCCTCTTCAGGTAATGTAATGCAATGAGATGGAAAAGCATTTATTAAACTGTCACTATGTGCCAAGCACTTTTCAAGGAGCATCATAATTGTTAATAATAACATAAAGCTTCACTGTACTGTCTGTTGGTTAAATCATGCAATTGTGTTCAATTCTGGGTGCTATACTTAACAAGGGACATTAACAAACTAGAGAGTATTAGGAGGAAGATGGACAAGATGTCTAGAAATCACAGTAATAGTTACTATTTATATAAGCTTTAAGCCACAGAAAACATTTTATATACATTACTTCATTTGAACCTCATGATAATATTGTGAAGTAGCTACCATAGATATCATTAGTCCCATTTTATAGTTAAGGAAGATGAGGCTCGGGAAAGTTAAGCAACTTGCCCATAGAAAGATAGCTAATTAAGTGTTGGAGGTAGATTTCAAAGCCTAGTTTCTCCTGGCTCAAAGGCCATGTAGTTTTTCTACTTTAAAGAATGGTTGGGGGAACCTAGGATGTTCATCTTAGAGAATAGGAGGTTTACAAGAACCCTGATAGCTATGTAGAATAAGGAGGAGGCCTATTTTGTGTTGTTGCAGAAGGCAGAACTGGGACCAATGGGTGAAAGCTTAGAAAGAGGTAGATTTTGACTCATAGGAAAGAACTTTATTGTAATTAGCTGTTTAATGATGAACATTCTAGCACAGCAGCAACAGTTTCTTACATAGGATATAGGAGGGCCCTTATAAGTTATGCTTCTGCTCCAGCAGAGAATACATTACTTTTTTAAAGGACATTATAGATATGATTCTTATTTTGTAAAGCTCCTTCCTTCTCTAAAATATGATTCTATTGTTTGAATACTTACAATGTAGAAACAATTTGATTATCATTTGTGTTCATTGTTTTTTTTAATCTAGAAATTAATGATCTCATAGTCTGCCTCAAGAAAATAAATGAATATTTGAGGAACACTGTCATACATCTTCAGAAAGAGGAAAAAGACATAGTTAATTTATATGCCATGAACCATGAGTATATTCCCCTTTACACACACACTACCATCCAAAATACCTTTGGTGGAACAAACATTTCTGAAAAAGGGAAAATGGATTATGTGGAAACATTCCCTGATTCCATCCAACCATTTCCTCAAATTTCTCCCCCTAAGGAAGGAGAAAGTCATTGCATGAGCCAAATCCAGATACAAGAAAACAAGGAACTGATGATTTCTGCATTTGTGGAGAAAGAAAATATCTCATCATTGAATGGAAATGTCACGAAGCAAGAAATGGAGTTAGATGAAACATCCTCAGAAAATGTGGCAAATAAGGATTGTAAACAAATAGAAGGCACTCTTGTAGAGAAAAATGATGCAAAGAGGGAAGAGATTAATGCTATAATATCTAGTAAAGAACTTCCAGAAAGAGAATTTCGAAGTAATATGGAGAGTATGAATGAAGGGAAGACAGTGTCTCTGATGAATGATATTGACAATAGATTCGGGGGAAATGTTCTCACAAATGATTCAGAGAATCTAAACCAAACAAATCATGTTCTGGAAAAGGAGTAAGTAAATATGTTTTTCTTGATGATGTATGTTTATGGCTATAAATAGAATTTGTACACAAGATCAACTTTAGGCTTCTATTGATTTGTTTTGTTTTTCCAAGCCATAATTGGTCCCCCTAAACTTTCCCATAAAACTATGAAAGGAGAATTGGATTGGAAGGGGGGGAGGTTACGGGTTTGGTTTATCTCTCCCTAAAGTTGGGAACCCTCTAGGGCAGATGTTCTTAACCATTTTTTGATATCATGGACCCCTTTGGCACTCTAGTGAAGCCTATGCAACCCTTCTTGGAAGAAGGTTTTTGGTTTTTTGTTTTTGTTTTTGTTTTGTTTTGTTTTGTTTTAGTGAGGCAATTGGGGTTGAATGACTTGCCCAGAGTCACAGAGCTAGGAAGTATTATGTGTCTGAGCCTGGATTTGAACTCAGGTTCTCCTGACTCCAGGGCCGGTGCTCTATCCACTGCGCCACTTAGCTGCCCCAAAGAAGGTTTTTAAATTCATAAAGCAGAATACACAGAATTTCAAGGGAAACCAATTTTATTGAAATACAATGATCAAAATATTAAAAAAATTCATAGACCCAGGGAAGGATCCCTGCTAGGGTGATGGAACCCATGTTGGGAGTAGAGAGCAAACTTCATTTTTTGTTCTTTAGCAAGAAGTAAACAATAGTAGCTTTTGCTCTTAGATACCCTTCCTAGTGTTTGGACAATGTGGGCATATTCCTGGCCTCTGTTATGGGGGCCTGCCCACCCTAACTTCTGTCCTCCCCTAGTTCTCAGGCCTTTGGCATAATGGACCCTGTTATCCCCAAAATAATGTTGGAAATGGGGATCCATATCAATAATGAATTAGTCCTGGATTTACTGCTTTCAGAGCCCTTCACTTTTATCTTTGAAATATTTATGTGCATCCTCTTCCTACATTGTTTATTTAACTTGGCAGACAATGGTATGTCTAGGCCTATTTTTGGATTCTTCATCCCTTAATTTATTTATTCATTTATTTATTCAACACCTACTTATTAATTTAGTAATTTTTATTAATCCCTTAGCAAAGGACTATGCTAGGTGTTGGGGAGTAATACAAAAGCATAAAGCTCTGGTAGCTACCCTGATGGAGTGTTTTGTTTACTAGACAACATGACAAGCACAAATGCCGTAAACTTACTGTGTAGTTGTAGTTCACTGCAAAATAAAATATGATAAGAAGATAAGAGAGTGCTCTTCAAGGACAGAGGAAGAGAAAGTAAGTTCTGACTGGGAGAGACCAGGGAAAGTAGTGATGGAGGAAGTGACATTTGAAATGGGACTTAAAAGAGGGGTAGGATTTCAGCAGGAAAGGATTATAATTGGGAGTATAATTATAATTATAATATATTCTAGGCAGGAAGAAGAGTACAAACGAAGTTGTCACAGAGGCAAGATTCGATTTGCATATATGCCTTTGGCCTCAGTGTAAGGAAAGAAGGATTTGGAATAATTGGATTTGTGCCCTGTATTTGACAAAAGAAGGGGGCTTGGATGTTGGCTGGAGGCACCCAAACCTTGTTTTCTGAGTGCAATTCAAGGAAAGCTATTACCAGCTAATTTGTGGCCCTGGAAAGAATACAAAATTAGAGTTCCCCACCCCACAGTATAATGGCGTGGAATGATTGAGATAATAGGTATATATTTTATAGTTTTCCTATACCTCTTCTAGCTTAGCATGGCCAAAGTGAGGTGTTTGGCTTGTTTTTGTTACACCTTTGAATTCTGGAGAGTGTCGAACAATTTCCTTAAACAACAAGTTTCCAGAAAGGATATTCTCTCATTTGTCACTAGAGTGTACAGTACAGAGTCTACACTAGGAGTATCCAGAGAAAACACTGATTTGTTAAAACACTTAAGCTCTAGGCCTGGATGTTCAGGAGCCAGCATGAACACTGTGTTTATGGATCTGATCAAAATCTCACTTCTTGAGGATGATGCAGCTGGAGTAGATAGTCCCTTAGCAGTTCCTAAACTATCTTATCCAATAATACTTTCTCCCTTCTCCTCCCACACATAAAAACAAACTAGAATTTGGTACAATAGAAAGGATGGGAAGTTATGCTTCTGGGAGCCAAGATGGTGGAGTAAGAAGTAAGTTGCTCTCACCCTCCTTTATTAACCTCTGAAAGGTCAGAAAATATCGCCCCAGGAAAAACTCTGGAACATCTGAACCAGCAGAAAGATGGGGTGCAGCAGTCTGGTAGCCCAGGCAGTTTGAGTGATTAAGGGGAAAGACCCCTCTTGCCCTGGGGGAAGGGGAGTGGTACAAAATGGGAGGCATCCCGGCAAGCTAGTGGAAAGCCCCACCTCAGCATACCAGGGGGAGATCCTGAACCCCAGGTGGTGGAGCAGGCAAGCAACAACACCAGGATCCCTGAGTACCTCAGTAAGGGTAGGGAAACCATTGGAAACCTGCTTAAAAAACCACCATATGCCTTGGCATTCTAAGGCAACCAAGTCTCCCAGTGCCTCAGCCAAACTCTGGGAAATGCTCCAAGGGTCTCCCCAGGTGGAGAAACCTCCTACAGCATCAAAACATCCATCTGAAAGGAGCCCAAGAAAGCAAAAGGGAGGAAAGACCCAGGTGAGCAGGTAACCTCCGGGGGCCAGACTACCCAAACCTCCCCCTGGAGTTCTAGTGTTGTTGATTCTAGCCCAACACCAGGTAAGCTGCCTACATCCTCCAACTGCCAACATCAGAGGCCCCAGCACACAAAGCCAGTGATGAGGCCCTGGGCTCCCAATGCAAGAAGTTTGGGTCAGTGCCCCCTGCTCCCCAGCAGGAGAGCTCAATCTTTTTAAAGGCTAGGAAATAAGCAAACACCATGAGCAAAAACAAACGTACTATAGATTCTTATTGTGGGAACAGTGATGGTCAAGGCAGAAATTCTGAAGAGGACAACATTGTCAACAAACCCACATCTGGAATCTCAAAAGGGAATAGGAGTTGGTCGGAGCTCAAGAAGGATTTTAAAAGTTAAATAAGAGAGGTAGAGGGGAAAAAATGGGAAAAAATGAGGGGTATTCAAGAGAAAGTTAATAGCTTGGAAAAAGGAAGGACAAAAATTAACTGTAGAAAACAATCCTTAAAAAATACAATTGGCCAACTGGGAAAAAAAGTACACTGAAGAAAACAAGTCCCTAAAAAATACAATTGGCCAAATGGAGAAGGTACAAAATCTAATAGAAGGAAACAATTTGTTAAAAATTAGAATTGGGCAAGTGAAAGCTAATGACTCTGTGAGAGAGCAAGAATCAGTCAAACAGAAACAAAAGAATGAAAAAAATAGATGATAACATAAAATATCTCATTGGTAAAACAACTGACTTAGAAAATAGATTCAGGAGAGACAATTTAAAAATTATTGGTCTACCTGAAACCACAAAGGAAAAAAGAGCTTGGACAGCACCTTTCAGGAAATCATCAAGGAAAACTGCCCTGAAGTCCTAGATCCAGAGAGTAAAATAGCCATAGAAAGAACCCACCAATCAACTCCTGAAAGACATATCAAATTGAAAATGCCAAGGAATATAGTAGCCAAATTCCAAAATTACCAGGTCAAAGAGAAAATACTGCAAGCATCCAGAAAGAAACAATTTAAATATCATGGAACCACAGTTAGGATTACACAGGACCTTGCAACTTCTACGTTAAAAGATCGTAGGCCATGGAATATAATATTCCATGAGGCAAAGGAGCTTGGATCACAACCAAGTGAAAATGAGCATAATCTTTCAGGGGAGGAGATGGATATTCAATGAAATAAGGGACTTCCAAACCTTCCTGATAAAAAGGCCAGAGCTCAACAGAAAATTTGATCTTCAAATACAAGACTCAAAGGAGACATAAAAAGGTAAACAGGGCAGAAAAAAATAACATGTTATAAATAAAGGGAAACTATTTACATCCTTACAAGAGAAGATGTCACTTATAACTCTTGATAATTGAATTGTTATTACACCAGTTTAAAGGAATATACATAGAGGGGGTGGGTATAAGTTGACTTTGATGTGATGATAAAAAAAATCTAATCAAGTAGATTAAATGAATCTAAGTAAGTGGATTAATCTGATCTCACTAAGGGAATGTACTGGGAGAAAAGGAAAGGAGGAGGCAGACAAGGGTAAATTATGTTAAAGGAAAAGGCACAAAATCCCATTACAATAGAGGGAAGGAGATGAGCATTGTTTGAACCTTACTCCCATGAGATTTGGCTCAAGGAGGGAATGACATAATCAGTTAGGTATAGAAATCTAACTTGTCCTGTAGGCAGTAGAAGGGAAAAGGGGAAAGAAAAGGGAGGGAAGATTGAAAGGAGGGAAGGAGTAGTAAGGGTAAAGGGGAAGAAAAGGGAGGGGATAATAGAAGGGAGGTGGGACTAAGGGAGATGGTGGTCAAAAGCAAAACACTAGTGAGGAGGGAAAGGGAGAAAGGAGAAAGAAAAGCATGAACTGGGCAAAAATAGGATGGAGAAAAAGGCACAGATAGTAATCATAACTGTGAATGTGAATGGGATGAACTCTCCCATAAAACGGAAGTGGATAGCAGAATGGATTAAAAATCATAATCCTACAATATGTTGTTACAGGAAACACATTTTAAATGGAGAGGCACACACAGGGTAAAGGTAAAAGGCTGGAGTAGAATATATTATGCTTCAGTTGAAGTAAAAAAAAAGGAGTAGCAATCCTGATTTCAGACAAAGCAAAAGCAAAAATGGATCTTATCAAAAGAGATAAGGAAGGAAACTATATCCTGCTAAAAGGCACCATAGACAATGAAGTAATATCATTACTAAACATATATGCACCAAATGGTATAGCATCCAAATTCTTAGAGGAGAAGTTCAGGGAGTTACAGGAAGAAATAGACAGCAAAACTATACTAGTGGGGGACCTCAACCTCCCCCTCTCTGAACTAGATAAATATAAGCACAAAATAAATAAGAAAGAAGTTAAGGAGGTGAA